TTGAGGTATCCATTAAATTAGAAAGAGACTGCAACAAAGCGGCTAGTTTTCCAGTTGGGAAGAGGAGAAGAGCCACAACAAATGCATACCATTGATTTTCAGCCATCAACATCCAATCTAAGGTAAATGTTGACTCAGGGAATTTTCTTCTAGGAGCTTCTAGGAGCACAAACTTTCAAACCTCTGCGAGGATGAGCTATTTGGAATCTACCAGAGGGCTGACACAATGGATCAAGGGGGATGCCGTGCTCTTGTGCCACACCTGGAGGAAAGCGGCTCTCCTCTAGAGGTCAGAATGCCACTCTGAAAGGCTTCGGCCTCTAGCCAGGTGCCCCCACTGTCAGCTTCCACAACTACCTGTGGCACAAGAGTACCTCCCCTTCCCCCACTAAAAACAAAACTAAAGGACAGGTTCCTGGTAAAGAGCACACACCCAGAGTTAACACAGCACCAAGACAAACTGCAAGAACAAGCTGCAGGTGCTGTCCCTCTTCCCGGCTGTCCCAGTGAATGCCAAACCTTACAAAGTCCAAATTCAGGGCAAGAAATTTCAATGCTATTTTGCAGGTTTGAATCTGTATATAAAGACAATTCAGAAGGCTGCACCCCAATCCTGAGTCATCAGCAAAGTTGTCTATGTGAATTTCGAGGTTTAATAATAGCCCCCAACCCTTTCTCATCAGTTCCAATGCATAAACAGAACTCTAAAGTCATGTATACAATGGGCCACTCTTACTCTAATGGACTTTGGGTAGTTCATGCAGTACCTAAAACCTAGTTCTCTGAGGAAGTACAAAGTGAAAGGAGCTATGACATTTCAACACTCAGCTGAGCAAGCCTACTCAACTATTCTGACAGCCAACGGATGTCAGGACATGCAGGTAGAGGATTGTTCATGCTGGGCTGGCAGGGACAATGATATCTCACTCGACTAAGTAGAAAACACATCATTTTAAGGCAATCTTAGGTGTCGAGAAAATATCAGACCCACCTGCTACATGGTTTACTAAATCCAGTCTTCAAAGGCAGCTGTCAATCTGGAATGGCTGCTTCTCTGAAACACTGCAGGCTGGAAACTGGTGTAGGACATAGGACAAACCACTCAGCATAAAAATTAGTACGAGAAGGCAAAGCCTGGGCCTAAGAAATTCACTTCTAATTATATGATATAAAAACAACACTGGACTAGGTATGGCGGTACATGCCTGCAATCACAGAACTCAGGAGGTGGAAGCAGGGGGATTAGGAGTTTGGGACCAACCTGGGCTACATGAGAGAGTCAAAAAAAGGGGGGGGGGGAGCTGGAGAGATAATTTGGTCTGGAAAGTGTCTGGCGCAGGACTTCAATCTGGATTTCCAGAACACATGGCCGGCTAGCCTAGCTGAACTGGTGACTGCAAAGCTCTTCTGTTTCAAACAGAACATGAAATCAAGATACACCCACCTGATTCCTACCTCCAGGTGCACCCCCACTAACAAGTACACACAGAACACACACAAACCCAACTGAAGAACACACACAAACCCACCCGGAGAGCAAACGGATAAAAAGCAACTTTGGAACAAGTTCTTAATAATATAGAGAAACAAAGGCCTGGATTCTAGAGACCAAGACAACTTTAAATTAAGTTCAAAATACTTTTTTTGCCAGGGTGGTGGTGACTCATACCTTTAAGCTCCGCATCTAGGAAGACAGTCATGAATTTAAGGCCAGCCTGGGCTAAAGCGAATCTTTGCCTCAAAATACAGACATACACATATGCATCAATTCATGTGTCTACAAAAAGGAGCTTTAGAGGATATCATAATACTGATGACTGAAGTGGTTGGCATTGAGAGAGAGAGCTAGACAAAACAGGCTAAGTCTGCACGCCCCTAAAATCCTGACACAGCCCCCATGCCTGTCCTGCCTTCCTCTGCAAAGGAGGAAGGAAAGGACTACTGGTAACGAAATGACAAAACAAGCTATCAGCGAGGCCCTTTCTAAGGATCCATTCAAGTCTTAGTGTCAAATGATTTCACCACCAGGTTTTAGCTGCACCAAGAGAAGAAGGGAGAACAAGACTCCAAGTTTCCCACAGGGTCACAGTTTACTCAAACACAGACGTGATTTTCACTGCCCTTCGGTACCCAACCTGCAGACTAAACTGTTCCTTTTTCCAGAAAACATTTACTGAGTTGCACCTTCAGTACCCATCAGTGAGCCATGTGCCTTCAGCAAAGAAAGTTATGAAAGCCAGACTGAATCCCAAAGCCCATTCCTTTCTCTCACTGCAGTTCCCCCACCCAAGAGCCTGGCAGGCCTGACCCTCAGCCACGCAGTAAGCACTGTGGCTATGGCAGCATCAAGTCCTGAAGCCACCAAGTACCAACTATTCTAACAGCAGAGGAATGCATGGATTTCCCCAACCAAGCCTTAAACACGAGTTCCGTTTGTCAGAATTAGTAAGAGACATTTTTTTTTAAAAAAAAAAAAAACCTATTTAAGAACATTATTAATTCTCTACTTAGTATGAATTAAAATTACCAAGAGACAGACACAGGTAATAAAGGCATCTTGTACTACCAAGTCTCAATGACTGGTATTTAAATATAAATGAAAGCACTATAGTCAGTAATCAAAGGATGGGGAGGTTAGAAAATATTCAAGACACATTACTGAGTTCTATGTATAGTAAATTTTTAAGTTTAAAGTCACAATTAACTAACATTTCTCATTAATATCACTTAGGTGCACGGAATGCTGACAACTTCCTTCCACTGACTGGACTACTGTCACTGTTTAAGCAAACGTACATTTCCTTCTGTTGCTGTCAAGCCTGACATTGCCATGTGTGGAAACGCCATCTGACTTCAGAAAGAGATTCAACACAGCAGCACAAAGTTCAGTCAGAAGTTGCACATAAAGGGTTTATTTTGAATGTTTTAAGGAAGGATAGAGTTACATCATAATTATAAAAATTACTTACAGAATTAACAGTTGTACTGTGTATACTTCTAAATGCAGAGAACAGGGAACTGTCTACACGTTGTATAAAATAAAGTTAAAATTAAAAATGAATTCAAGCTCAAAAAAATGAGGTCATTTATCTAGTTTTAAACGTGAACACGAAGACCTCTGAACTCTACTCATTCATCCGAACTGCACCAATGAAGGAGAATACACAGAGTGCAGCATTCCCAAGGAACACAGAAATTTCAACCATGATTATTTTGAGTAATTTTTCCTGTGTCATCTTTGGAGGACTCTCATCTCTTGGACAATCAGCGTAAGTGTTTTCAGGCACTACAATCTGTGACAATCAGCGCAGTCTTCTTTCTAATGGGTCAACAGTGTTCAGAGATTCAGGCCCAATGCACTTCGGGGTTTGGCACATAAAACAAGAAAAGAAATGAAATCTGGCTTAGAAGCAACTGTGATTTTTAGAGCGTGCACAGTCCCTTCGAGTGCTGTGTGACATATACAACTGGAATCACCTTCTGTCAGCGCTACGACTGCTTCACCAGTGCGTCTTTACCCTACAACCACTAGAACAGCACAGTAAGCAAATATACAGGAAACCAAAAGCAAATCCAAAGAAAGAAAGAAAGAAAGAACCTAAGTCTCTTTAACATGCAATTTTACTTAGTTACACTGAACATTCTACTTAGAAGAGAGCATGCAAAAAAGGATGGTCTGCTTTAAGGTTCTTCTCTGAAGTTTACGTGGCAGCCTGACGTCACATACGCACGCACACACGATACGATACTAGAGCAGGTAAGTGAGGAAGGCCAATAAATTTTATACACAGATTCACGCCTTGTGTTGCCACAAGCCCCATAATTTTGGAAATTAATGTTGAACTCCTAAATGAGGAATCAACATTCAGATACCAGAACAATGCAAGCAATGCATGCAGATCTGAACTGTGAGCCTAAGGGAAGCCCGAGGTGGCAGGCTCAGGAGGAGAGTGGTGGAAGCCACCAAAAGAAAAGAGTGGGGGAGGATGGAAAAACAATAAAAATACAAACAAACAAACAAAAACCTTCCCCTTCCCTCAGCCTCACGTAAAGGCAATAAAAAGAATAGTGATCAAAGTTATCAACATCATCATGTTGTATTCCTCTGGACCAGGAGTTCACGGGTAACCAAACTAATGTGGGCTGCTTGCAGAAAACCACAATGCAATCATCAGATAACGGCAGACACATCTAAACAGATCCAGCCCTAGGGACATTTCGAAATGAACACTCCTTTCCAGTCACCACACTATGTTCTGCACTCACCCACTTGTGGCACAGATGTCAGTATACGCCCTAGGAGTCAGACTCAGCTCAGATTTACATGCACGACGACACCCGGTCACATACGCTAGAAGCACTGAAGACTAGGGTATATCACACTGCATTGAGAAGCTTGTCCCTGGGTCCCTTTGGGAAAACACTGAGCACAGGGTGATTGCAGCCAGGGACAGAACTGAGGTACTGTGTTAACATGGTGAGCAGTTGTGACCATCCAGAAGCATGAGGTTGTTAGCCTCTGTGAAGACTACATACATGGGTATCCAGTAACCATGCTCCTTGAATCATGGAATGATTTCTTACATCAGGAAGAGCCCCAACAAGGTAGCAGACCTACACTAGGCCAAAGCTCTGGTGTGTGCTTGACAGTATCCACATCTGTCCAGGCACAGAAAGGATTTTCAAACTCTACAAAGAGACTGGTTTTACAAATCATCTTTCTCCCAGCTGACAGGTCACTGGGGATCTTCCAAAACAAGCAAGACCAAGCAGATGTTAGGTGAGCCAATCAACCACATTTTCAGTTCCATCTCAGCTTCAAACAACCTTACAGAACAAATCACAAATGCACCCAGTGGCCAAGAGCTGCTATTCACCCACAAGCCAGCTAGCATGACAGCCTTCCACCATAACATATAATGCACATGCAAAGCCCAGGGCCACAGAGGGAATAAACCCGCATGAACAGCACACCTGGAGCAAGAACAGACACCGCCACAACAGGGTCAAGGCAAGAAGCCATATTTGTCCAACATTCACTGGAGAGGGAAGGGCCAGGAGGAAGAAGAGCAGGAAGGGAAGGGGAGAAGAAGAGGCCTTCTGACCACAATCATATATCAACAGTAACAGTAATAAAAACTAAAAAGCCCCAGAGAACTTAGCAGAAGGCAACAGTGCCATACTTTAAAACTCACATTTCTAATACCAATGTACTGTTTTTGCAGGAATTTACCACATATACAAACCACTGTTATATTGTTGCCTTCTAAATCCATGTACTAAAATCCTGATGACTGGAAGCATACAAATAGACCAATGTGCCGTCCACAAGCACATTGACATTGTTCCATGTGAACCAAGGACCTGGGCTTTATTTTAAAAGTACTTATGATTAAAGAGTAACAACAGCAACAACAACAACAACAACAACAATAATAATAAAGGAAACAAGAAACAAACGAAACATAGAAAACAAAGCTTCGAATTGAAGGCAGCCTTTTACCCAGATTTCTTAACAGTTTACTAAATTCTACTGTGGGTTGTTGACGGTTTATGGCTAATTTATACCTGGACTCATAGCTAAAAGCCTCCAGATTAAAATGGTACTCTGAATTCTGACCTTTGAAACAACCTAATGTCCCTGTGTGCTTTCCGTGCCCAAATTTAATTTTAAACAAAGCCATATTATAAATACGACTGACTTGGGTCAAGCACTCCTGTTGAACTGGAGAAAACATTATCACCCCCCCCCACACACACTCCACAAGGAAAGGAGTGCCAGCGGTGAGTGCCTGTGTGTGTGTATAATATATACATAGGCACACAGATGCAGATCTAGACAGGTAGCTATAGATACATAATCTCTCAAAAAAGGCAGTAACAAAAATAACAAACTATGCTTGCATTGTGGCAGCAGAATAAGACAGTGTGTCAAAGTGATGGGGAAAATGGTTACAACTTATCCAGATTTAAATGACTATAATACTAGCTTAACTTTTACCACCTTGCTTGTAACCCCCAACAGACAGCCTTCTTGTAAGGGGGAGGACCCCCCTCACACAGATGCCTTGAAGAGGGAGGACTCCCCTCACAGATGCTCTGAAGAGGGAGTACTCCCCTCATAGATGCCTTGTGTTCGAATCAGTCTGCACTATTCAGAACAACACCAGCTCTGCTGGTGGAGATTGTGGGTTCGCAGGGACATCTAAGCTTTCATTAAACTGGAAAGCAATCAAGTCTTTATGTCTACAAATTATACATTTAATAGTTCCACAAATTTGGCAAAGCTTGTGATGACATCTAGGACGTTTTCACCAAATCGTAGACGTAAATATGGAAGTCATCATCAAACTTGATGAAATAGACAGAGGGTTTGGCCTCTACTTGGTGGATGACCATGCCAGTCCTTTTCGAGCCATCTTCTTTGGCATATTCCACTTGCTTGCCTACCAGGCTGTCCACAACTTCTCCTGGCTCCCTTTCTGCTGGAGGCGAATCATCTGTATTTAAAAGAAAAAAAAAGTCAATATTTAGATATATCACTACTGCATTTAGCAACAAATATAAAGACTTAAGATATCCTGAGTTCATCACGATCTGGTCAACACTTTCTTAAAGGGTCACTCTCTAAATATTTCAGGCACATGGTCAACGTCCCAATTAGTCATCTATGAGAACGCACCAAAATGGCCAAGGCAGTCCAGAAATTAATAGCTGAGATGTACTTTAGCAAAACACCACTCACATGGTTTACTGTGAACCTCATCCAGACAGATATATGAATGATTTTAAAATTATAACCCAAACTCCTTGGGATCAAATTAAATTATAACTGCAATTTTCTAAAATTAACCTTAAATGGCTTTGAAATAGACTTTCCTGCAGGGCTTCCTGAGAACATGCTGCTCGCTTAAAATGTTGAGGCATCACTGGGGTTTACCTGTGAGTCTGAAAGCTCCTTCTCCTCAACTTCAATGCATTCTAACCATCTTCCACGCAGTTTCAGAATAATTTTAATAAAATCTCCACACTTTACAAGCAAGCACTAGGTGAACTCCACCCAGACCAGGAAAACAGAACAACAGATCTCTGAGGACGGCCCAGGTACCTGTACCATCCATCCACAAGAGCCTCAGGTTGCAGTTACCTCTGGGAAAACACAGAATGACAACAAGCCACCACTAACCAAAACAAAACAAAGTGCGGTGGGGACACAAAGCAGTCACTAGACATTTTAAAGCACTCCTTAGAGGTTCAGAGAAGAGCCACGCTTTTAGAGAAGCAGATGGGCTTCAGGCTGGCCAGATCTCAGGTGAGCAAACAGTCTCTGTGACCTCGGCATGACTGAGGTACAGAAGTCTACTAACACAGCTTCCTAGTGTGGTGTATGTAGCATGTCTACATTAACATCTCCCCTCCAACTACAGCAAGCCACTAACTCAATGACTATCTGAGACCCACCACAGTGATTCTGGTACAAATACACAATATAAACTAAACCCTGCACATGATCAGTTCTTTTAAAGCAGAGTGAAAAAAGTACCTTCTCCTCAAAACTTCCTTTCCTGCAGGCGGCACTGCTCTATATCACCTCACATTTCCACAGAAACTTCCAAGTTTACCAAGGGATTCCAAAAGCATGATGCCAGCTGATTTGACAGGAGCTCCGAGGGTCTACACTTCTACTGAAGCTTACTTAGCCAGCAAAGGGACCGGATTCAAACCGCAGGGACATGGCTGCTTCAGAGTTTACCAGAACATCAGTACTATTCTAACAGGAGATAACCTCCACACAACTGACAAGAAACGAAGAAGTTTGGGAAGGCACGAGAAGATTAAGAAGTGGCTGGAAAAGTTGTAGCATTATGTGTGGAGGCCTTGCACGTCTATTCTTAGCACAACAGCACTTGTTTTGATGGATCTTCCTCTACAGTTGGAGAATGCTTTTAAAGAACACTCTTCAGAACATAAATCCTAGAGTATACAAATAATTTTCTTTGTAAAAATGAACAAACTTTAATAAAAAATTAAGTAGTCATTCCAGACCAGATAAGCGTTATCAGTAAGTTCCTTAATGGACTTCTTCATAGAAAAACGTCTTTTAAAAAGAAATTGAAATGACCATCATAACACTAACAGTGTTTGCTAACCACAATGTCTCAGGCCACGCACGGGTCCACATGTCTGAGGAAACAGTCCTTTCAGAAAAGGTTCAGCCTGATGTAGATGGAGGTTTATGCCTACAATCCTAGCTCTCAGGAGGCTGGGATAGAGAATCTTGAGTTTGAGGTCTTGGTTAAATAGCAAGACACTGTTTCGAAACAAAACAAAAACTAATTAATAAATAAACAGGATTATCCAAAAATCACATTAAGAAAACAATTCCACTTATAGTAACTTAAAAAAATTTCTTAGTGGCAAAAGAAAGGAAATGTTTAGACTCTGAAAATTATAAAACTTGGTTGAAAACCATCACAAAGCTCAAAGTTTTAAAAAGCATCCTCACTTGCAGACTGAAAGACTTGCTACTATTTATGAACATGAGAGGGCAGTATATTCTGCAGACAGACAACACCGATGTCATCAGCACCCCAACAGAATTCTTTATGAAAATTAGCAAACTAATTTTAAAATTCATATGCAACTGCAAGATACCGAGAACAGCCAGGACAGTCCTAAGAAGCAGTAGAGAGGGGTCTCGTACTTCTGATGTCAATACTTACTACAAAGCAATGCAATGAAGACAGTATGGGATCTGCAAGGACAGACATAGAAACGGGAGAACAGAACTGGGGTCCAGACACATTCACGTATCCACAGCCAAATGATTTTCAACAAGGTGCCAAAACCATTCTATGGAGGAAAGAATAGTCTTTTCAACAAGCAGAGCTAAGTCCAAGGGAAGCTACATGAAAAAGAATGAATTGAACTCTTACATCCTCACTTCACGCTATACCACATTTTAATAATAATAAAAATCCAGTTACAAAATTTGCAATGTTTAAGACACCAAAAGCAAAATTAACAAAAGAAACAGATGAACTGGGCCTGAAAGTTAAAAACTTGGGTATCAAAGATCAATCAAAGAAGTGAAAAGAGAGATGAAATGGCAATGCACACCTGTAATCCTAGCACCCCAGGGGCTAATGTAGGAAGATGGGAGAGTTTGAGGCCTGTCTGGACTGTATGGCAAAGTGCAGGCCAGCCTAAGAGACATAGCATGACTCTGTTGCAACTCTGGGGGACATTGCCAAGTGAAAAGAGAGCCCACAGAAGAACATAATAAACCTGATTTCTAATAAAAGACTAGTATCTAGAATGCTGACTCTGAACAATCATATCACCAGAGATACACAAATGTACAGTAAGCACACAAAAATCCCTGTGATATCAGTAGTCACCAGGGAAACAAAGCAAACCACCCAGGAGACTACTTCATCCTCACTAGAGGAACTATTAGGATGAATTTTAAAGACAAGAGAGTGCTGGTGAGAACATGAGGAGAGCAGATCCTCACCCACTGTTGAAGGCAATGTGAAGGACACAATAAACAATGAAACCTGGAGTTGCCACTAAGACCCAGCAATTCCACTTCAAAATTCCACAGAGAATCTCAGATGCAAATGTTTATAAAACACCAATATCCATAGAAACCAAAACATAGTAACAACCCAAATATGAATCAACAGCTAAACAAATGAAATAGGGTATACTCCATATAATAATTTATACTTGAACACTATTTATAAAGGATGAAATCCTAAAGCATGGTCCAACACGAGGAAACCCTGGAATCATGTGAAACAAAAAAACTAAGTCACAAAAGGTCCCATAAAATCCATTCCCGTGGGGTCCACAACAAGAAAATGTATCCAGAAAGTCAACGTATTCACAGCTGCTTAGGCTGTGAGTAAAGATAGGGAGATGAGAAATAAAAAAGCTGGGCACAGTGGAAAACAGGGCGATCAGGAATTCAACTAAGCAGAAAAATCAAGATGTGCCTCTCAAAAGGTGGGGGGTGGTGACGGGCGGTTTCTGATGGGACAGTGTTCTGAAGCAAAACCTGCCTGGGCACAGGGATGCATTCCTGTTAGTCCCAGCATTCTGGAGCCTGAGGCAGGAGGACTGAGTTTAAGGCCAGTTTGAGTTATAAAGTAAATTCTGGGTCAACTTCTGCTACATGAGACTTTCTCAAAGAACAAAAACCAAGCTTCCAAAACCAGGTCACCCCACATTAGCTCCACCATTCTCACTTTGTCTGTGATCTAGCTGCTACAGAAAGTTCCCTCCCCGGTTCAGTTTTGTTTTGTTGTGTGCTAGGAATTCAACTCAGAGCCTCATTCATGCTTGGCAAGCCCCATCTGCAGCACTGAGTTAAGCCTCCAATTAAGTTTTCTGAAACTACTATTCTCTGAAGTCTAATATTCAGATTAAATTATCACTGTAGATGACCAGCTGCAAAATAAATCAGGAAGAAGTAGGAAAAGCCAGACTGACGGTGAGAAAACAGCTGCTATCTATAAACAATGGAATGGATTTACCTGATCCGCTACATGGTCACATACTTTCCACTAATAAAAAATCCCATTGTAGTATTTCTAAAAATTTAAATAACCTTTCCAAAAGACTTAACATTTTTATCATCTAAAACTCACAAGAAAAAGTTTGTACACACAAAAAACACACCTGCAAATCCATTACTCAAATACTTTAGCTAAAATATTAATTCCTTTCAAATCACCAAACCCAAAAGTTGCTGATGTGGCCAACTTACTAGAATCAGGCATGATGCGGAGATCGCCTTCTTTGTAATCATCTAGGAGCTGGTACATGTACAAGACAGGGTCTTTCTCATAGGTGATGTAAAACCATGTGTTCATGACAGGTGCCCGTGCCAAGACCATCCCCCTCCACTCATCTTTAGAGCCATCCTCTGTTTCAAACATGTGCTCCACTGCTTTGCCAATCATTGTGTCCGCTAAGTGTGCGTCGCTGATCCGAGATGTGGCTGGAATTAAAAGAGCAAAACACTTGAGCAAGTGTTTACTAACAGAGACAAGCTTTCCCCATGCAAATCATTAGTGAACATGAGCGTGGCCAAGAGATCTAAGCAGCTATCAAACAAAAAGGCAGGGCTGGCACACATGTGGACTAAACAGGAAGAAATCTGGCCTAAGGTGAACAACAATCTGTTTTGTTCTTATTTTTAGATTTAGTTCCTCAGTATTACACCTAAACCACAGGTCTTAAGTAGTTTTTGTTACTGCTTATTTTGCAGTTACCTAAAGCTATGAGTTAGTATCTGATTCACAGATAGAAAGAGCAGAGTTCCCACACAGCAAATGGTGCTGACCCTTTCTTAGTAACATTTGATGAAGTCCTCTGAACTCTCCATGAGTCCACCCACCTTCACATAAATAGCAAAAATTAATAACACTTTGTTATTGTCTTTAAAGAAACTGGGAGTTCGCTTATCACTTTATTTTCATGTTCTGTAGTTATTTACTCTTATGCCTACAATCTAATCTCCATAGTAACCAGAGTGAACACTGCACTATCTAGAGAAAACTGTCATTTATCATTTAAAATTTTCTCACTTTGTTGCCATCCTTCAGCCCCCAAGTCCATCCTCTCTTCGAAGCATACCCCATCTACCCAGACAAATTTTCTTCCTTCTTCAGGGGACAGGCTATTTCCACAAGGTCTCTAGAACTCAACAGGACAACCAGGGACAAATGGCACCACCAGCCTCATCATGTGTTGTTCTGTTCTTATTTAACAGTCCTCATTACCTAAAGCTGTCTTACTTTATGGATTTGCTGACATTGTAGGTATCTGGACACTGCGATGAAGCAGAGGCTTGCTCCCTGTTTCTAGCTCTTAGCAGTTTCAGACTGCCTGTGTGGTATTATGAGATAGCCCGTGTGTGTGTGTGTGTGTGTGTGTGTGTGTGTGTGTAAAAAATTGCCAGGCTTTCTGTTTGCATGCTGTTTTTAATACTAGACAGGTTATAAGGGGTCCTATTGACATTAAGGTCTCACCAGTCCTCACATTCTAGACAACTGTCTTTCAAAATAATCAGATCTCTCTAGTCACTTATCTAGTTTCTCTATTAAAATCAAAAGGAAAAGAAATTCAGATTTTCTAGCTAGGCAAATATACTGCTACTCAATTTAATTAGGACACACACACAACCTGTTCATGGTGTTACATATGTAAGAGTAATCAGAAACAGCACAAAATCACCCCCCCCCCCAGGACACTTAAAACATACAGGAGCACATACACATCAATGGCTTCTTCAAGCCAGCAATCAATAAAATCTATTAAAAATAAAAAAAAACGTATTTTTGCAAACCTTAATACCTAGTTAAAATGTCTTTTTTAAAAGTATTTTTTCTTTGTGTATAGATGAACACAAGTATGTTTTGGGGTATATGTAGAGGCGAAAGAAGGATGTTGGAGCCCTTAGAACTGTTGTGATAGGCACTTGCTGGATGTCTGTCCTCTTCAGTGGATATGGTCCTCTTAATTCTCAACAAGCATTCTTAAGTTACTAAGCCATCACTCTAGTTCCCTTAATGTGTATTTTTTTTAAAACAACTTCATTCAAACTATTGTTTCCAGTTATGTGAGATCCAGCCTCACAATGATGTGAGTTTCCCCCAGGTAATTCTAGATGCTCACCTAATACTACAAAGTATGCAAGCAGTAACTCCCTAGGTCAGCAGCAAGAGCCTGAACCAATTACCATTAAACTCTTCAAACTGTTTAAGCTGTTACACTACAACTCAACAACAACAACCACACAAAATTCTTCTGATTAAAAATATGAAACTTGAAGAAACATTTCTCCAAAGATGATATACAAATAGCAACAAGCATGCAGGGACAACACAGCCTTAACTGTTATCCTTACACCTACAGATGGTTACTATCAAAACAGAAATCACTAGGTGATGGGGGCAGAGTTGGAGAGTTGAAGCCGCTGTGCATTGCTGCTGGAGCTGTAAGCCTCAACAACACAGGGAACACTGTGGCAATTCCATTAAGAAAACATGAATTATAAAACCCTATAATCAGACAAAACCACTTCTGGGGGAAACCACCCAAAGGAATAGGAAAGTTTCAGAGAAGTCACAGATAGCCACATCCACAGCAGCTTCCAACATGGAAAGGGTCATGGATAAACAAAATGAGGTACACAGGTTTATACCAGAGTATGACTGCCAGTGTTCAAAGGGAAAGCATTCCTGCCATGTGCTACTTTGTGGAAGGATGGAGTAAGTCACAGAAAAAAAAAAAATATCCAGAGTGGTCAAATCCCTAAAGACAAGAATGGAGAGCACATGTACAAAATGATGCAGACAATAAATTCTGCAATTTTCTTTATCAAGCTTGGTTCGTGTGTGTGTGTGTGTGTTGTGTGTGTGTGTGTGTCTGTCTGTCTGTCTGTCTATGTGTGTATGCATGAGTTATGCAGACTTTTCCTGTAGAAGAAGGAACTCCACATTGCAACTGTGAATAACTGAGGGTAAGGAGAACAAATTCTTATCTTAATGTTGGGGAAATAATAGGGTTAGGGACCTTGAGGGTCCACAGACCTTGCCTTGGGAACCACTGACACCATCACATGCTCTTCAGTCTCTTTACCTGGCTTTTTCACCATCTCTAGTATCACTATAATTAAAATTCAATGTACACACTGAAGTGGGCTAGAAGACTGTTTCCTCCTACACAGAACACAAAAGGCAAGTAACTTTCTAGATTCTACTCTCATAGTAAACACAAAAGTTAAGAGTGCATGTCTAGTCAAGTATGGTTGTTTGCATCTATAATCCTAGCCCTCCAGAGTCTGAGGCAGTGGACTACTTACTAACTGTATTGGACACAGTATCTTGCTAATCTGAACCACCATTTGGACTCCTCTCTTCAAAGTGCTTTAATTTACAACTATAATCCATGTCCTCTGGCAAACGAGACAACCCAGATCTATAAAGAATACACACCACCCTTGATGACATACAGCCCGGGTGCTCACAAGATTTGCTCCTGTCCTATGAGTATTCACGAGAGAAGCTTTGCCCTAGAAAGCAGATAGACTGAAATCCTGGGTCAGAAGATGCCTACCACCACGCAACACCACCAAAGCATGCAGTTACAGTTTTCTAAGGAGCCAGTAAGGCATTTAACATCCACATTTCCGGGAGGAAGTCTGACCTCAGTTACACCAGGAGAAGTTGACAGCCAGGTGTGTGGCACATGCCCACCATCCCAGCTAGTCAGTCAGGAGGCCGAGACAAGAGGACCGACCATATGAGCTCATACATTAGAGACCATGGGGCTCAAGTGAGCTGCCCTATAAAGTGTTGTAGCCTTAGATCCTATCTCAAAAAAATGCTGAAAAAATAGGATGAAAATGTAAAACTCTGTGAAAATGTAACTTCACAGAGAATGAGAAGACTTTTCAGAACTGTGGGGCCTAATTTTCAAATGGCACAAAGACTTAAAGGCAACTTTCAAAGAATATACATCAGTATTTTAAGAAGCAGCAGCTAGCAGCAGCAAAACATTTTGAAACATATACTTTTAAGTAATACTAACTTGAGAATGTTCTACTTAAAATTGCCATCAATAATCATTACCTTTAACTTAAACTTTGTGCCTTAAGGAACATTTATAAGGTAACCCTGAGACCACAGGACAGAATAAGTTTTCCCCTTGCAAAGCTTACTGAAAAATGGACTCTCATCCTGGATGCTTCCAAGGACATTTAGTGTTTACAATAGACAACAAGCCAAAATAACCTACTATTTCCTGAGCTGTCAAGTCAAGGGGCCATGTCAGTGAGCCAATGAACATCACAGACAAAACGAGCAACTGGAAAACTGGAAATCTCTAGGTCAAAGATGCATCTTTATATCTGTCATAAGGCCCTTAACTGTGGTTTCAAATCATCTTCTCCGGGTCAGTTTCTGTGTGTGTAAGTGGTACATGTTTATCAGAGGTGTTTGAGGTCTGACAGAAGTAACAAACACTAATAATGAGAATCAAAAAGCATTCAATTGCCACTTTTTAAAATGATAAGGTTTTTAAAAGAATAACTTTAAAGACTTACCAACTCTATCAGGGAGGACTTCAAGTGCAGAAACTCTTTCATCTTTATTAAGTTCTAGTCCATAAACACAGTCAAATCCATCATACTTTATAAGATACAGGGAAGGATTCACGGGCACCTGGTCCAGGACAGTCCCCTTCCACTGGGTGATAGGGCCGTTGCCCTCTCTCCACCCATGCTGAATCCTGCAGCCTACGATGTTCCGCCGGGGCTGGGACACAGGTTTGCTTGGTCCCACACTGGTCCGATGTTTTCTGTATTCACACATATAATGTATTATTCTCACAAATATGCACATCTGGACTCAATACAGTAACTAGCTTGCATGTTCATCATTACACATAACCCTAAGGCACGGGCAAACTCCTTCTGGTGAGCCAGAATGACCACAAGTTTCAGGCCAGTCTGGACTGCAGAGCCAAATGTGCTGCAAAAACGAAGAGCTAAAGAGATGCCTCAGTTGGTAAGAGCATCGGCTAATCTTGCAGATGACCCAAGTTTGTTATCCAGCCATCTATATGGTGAATGTCCTCTCCTGGCCTTCTCAGGAATCAGGCACACATGGAGTGCACAAACATACCTGATGGAGGCACTCCCAAACACAAAATTAAAACAAAACAAAAAACCCCACCACTTAACATTTTATTCCTTTTTATGCCCTGGTAACCCTGAAATAAACTAATCAACACACAGTTGGACTACAGAATTCGCTCAGAAGCACAATTTCCTCACATACTAGAATAATTCACAAGCACCTTATAACAGTTTATGACAAATAATAATGTAATATTAGAAATACTGCAGCAACATCAAACCAGTGATTTAAATATTTACACAAAATGCTAATACTTTGGTTGTTTGTGTGTGTACACACATGTACATATAAAAACATGTGTATCCATGTAGAGGCTAGAAGTTGCTACCAAGTGTCTTCCTCTGCTGCTTTCCACATTATTTTCCAAAACAGTCTCTCACTGAATCTAGAATTTGCCATTTAGGCTAGACTGGCTTATCAATGAGTTCCCAGGATCCATCTATCTTAGCCCTGCCCCTAAACTACGGGGATTACAGACACATGCCCCATCCGAGGACCCAAGCTTAGCTCCTTATGCTTATTCAGAAAGCACTTTACACAGTCATCTTCCCAATGCCCATCCTGGCTCTTGATAGGGGGTGGGAGGGTTAATTACACTCTGAAATACAAATACAAAGGATAAGACTTGGCTTGGATATAACTTGGGCCAAACCAACTTGACAGATGTTGCTGTGTGCCAAGAGCTGAAGAGGATCACATGGCATTTCATAATTTCTTACAAATTTACTGTCATTACAATATATTATATATATACATATAATAAAAAGGCATTTACTGTTTACAAGCACTTAGCCCTGACAGAGGTCCCGGAAACAGTGGGTCTGTTGCAAACATAAAGAAGGACATCTGAGGCAATTAAGCACTGAGCCGAGAGGGAATGAGAGCTGAGGCAAAGTGGACCAGGAAAGGGATTGAGGCCATGTGTAGAACCTCTAAACCAGACACTCCCACACTCTCCTCACCATCTTCTGCCCTCAGAACCTTCTGAGAAAGCAGCACACCTTCCTCCAAGGGAGGGAGAGTCATGTCCCCAGGCCATATGAGTACAAAAGCCTAACTAAGCAGGGAGTGACTAGAGTCAGGTAAGAAAGTCCAGAGACAGGAACACAGTAGACACAGGTGGTTAAAGGGAATCCTGTTTTAAAGAGGACACCCAAGCAGAGCTAAGGAAGCATAGGAACTTCTAAGGTCACCTCCTCTACAGCCCAGGAATCCTGATGTACAATATACAAAAGTAGCTTAAAGAAGAAAGAAAAGAACATTCTTGATTGAGTTTTGATAGGTAGTAGAGGTTAGCCAGGAAAATATATCCATGTAGTAGATAAAGCTATTACCAGCACTAAGCAAATAACAGAAGCCAGGTAAGAGAAGCAGTCCAGATGATTGTGCCAACAGGTGCCTGTTTCTGGGGTTGTCTGAGAATGTTCTGGAAAGAGATCAGTATTTGAACTGCTGGGCTGAGGAAAAAGGATGTGTCCTCAGCAGTGCAAACAGGCTTCATTCAATCTGCTGAGGGGCTGCACACAACAACAAACAGGAGCACACCATCTTTTTATTTCTGCTAGTGGACCCAAGCAGGAACATAGTTTTCTTCTGCTCCTGGACTAGATCTTCCACCAGTGGCTCCTGGTTCTGATTCTGCATCAGAACTTTACCATCAGCTCCATAGTATCTCTAGCTCACGGACTGCAAGGGAAGGAACTTCCTTGCCTCAATATTACATGACTCAACTTTTCATAATCTTTATTTCTATCTCTTATTGGTTCTCTTGCTCCAGAGGATCCTGACAGAGGAATATGTATCACAGAATGGAAAAGTTGAGAATGAGACAATGTGAATACAGCTAGGCAAGGTAAGGTAACAGACAACCTGAAGGTTTTGGTGATGAGACAAACAGAGAAGAATCTGGAGAAATGACAATGTGGGGGCTAATACAGAAATGAGTAGAGAAAGGCAGCAGGAGGCAGAGACTGAGGAATAAACACATGGCAGTGGGGAAGGACTTCAACAGAAGTTGTCCACAGAGTACAATCAAATGCCAAGGACCAAAACTGCTCCAAGTTAAACATCTCAAAGACTATATCCCTGGGAAGTCAGAAAAAGAATGGCTCATGCTGAGACATGCCACATAAAACACATTCTTTGTACATCCAGGCAAAGACACCAAATCACATGTACAGTAAAACAATGAAATCTGGACAGCAGCATGTTATGCCAGAAGAATGAACTTGGGGCTCCTCTGGGAAAGAAACAAAGAACCAGAAGGGCAAGCTGACTTCCAAGCAGAAAGACCACAAGTAGAAAATTGTAAGCATGTCCAAAAGCAGGGAACACTCTTTTCATCTCTATGTGTCCCTTAAATGTAGCACTAAAGGCTGACACACAGCTCAACTCAGGACTGACAGGGAGTAACAGATACAGTCATTGTAGAACAATACAGAGGAAGAGAGGAAACAGTGATCCTTGAACAATGAAGGGGTGCTTAGGGAGGCACATGTCAACCACAGTTGACAACCCCCAAAGTTTCAGACAGTGTAGCACCATCCTTTAATTCTAGCACTCAGACTCTGAGACAGGAGAGTCAGGAGTTCTAGGATAGCCTAAACTATACAGTAAGACCCAGATGCCCCCCCCCCCAAAAAAAAAACCTTAGCCAGGAATGAAGACACCCTCTGTAATCCTAGCATCGAGGAGGCCGAGACAGAGGAAGCCAAGTCTGAGGCTAGTCTGGAGTACACAGGGAGCTCCAGGCTTATCCTACGAACTAGGCAAAGAAACTCCCACTAACTACCTTTCTAATAATTCCAACATTAACAGCATATATGCACACAAGCATGAGCACACCACAATACATTTGTGGGGGTCAGAGTTGGTTCTGTCCTTACACATTACATAGGCTTTGGGAATTAAACTCAGGCCACCAGGCTTGCTTAGCAAGCATTTGTTCCTTCTGAGCTACCTTACTAGTTCCCACATGATCACTTTTTATATTGCTAATTCAGGGAAGACGACTACACCCTCAAGAATGAGCAGCAATGGAGGGTATGATCCTGGCAGAACTCATAGGATTTGAGCTCCCCCAGCAGCAAGAGGAAGTGGCTGAGACGGCTACAGTAGCACAGCAGCTGGCTCTGATGGGATTACAGTGTGCTGTTGCATGTGCTTACATGTATCTGAAAATAGTAATCTTTAAAGTCCTTTTGTGGCCAGGTGGAGGTGGCACACGCCTTTAATCCCAGCACTCAGGAGGCAGAGGCAGGTGGATCTCTTTTGAGTCCGAGGCCAGCCTAGTCTATAAGAGTAGTTCCAGGCTACAAAGAAAGCCTGTCTCAAAAAATCCAAAGGGGGTGGGGGCTGTGAAATTTTAGTAGCGTGACTCACAGGTCAGTCTCATAGTATCTGAGAAGACAAAAAATATGCAACTGCCACCTATTCTGACACTGATTTAGCACAATTCCCGACCTCTCTCTCACAGAACCTAGATGATAAAAAGAGAAGAAAAGCTTCAATAAAGCTGTCAAAAGTTTTTTAACTACTAAACAACACTCAGACCCTCAGACCCAAGAGGACTACTAAATACGTGCAGTTTCTAGGGACAAATATCTGCCCTTCTAAGGGATTACACTTGTCTTAGAACACCAGAATCTTCTCATCGACACTTTTTACCTTTGTCTTCATGCAACCCACTCACAAGCCTTCATTCAATTTTTATAACCATGTCCCAGAGAACTCCCCTGTACAGGAACAGGCTCACAACAGAGGCTGTGGGAGGTACTTCGCCGAGGAAAGGATGTGAAGGATTCCACCAGCACACATACCACTTCCTAAACCCTAAGTAACAGACATTGTTATTTCCGCTTACAATTGCTTTGTCTATTCAGGATTTTTGGTACTTCCACATGAATCTTGAGGGTGTTTTTCCAGTTCTGCAAGGAATATCACTGAGATTTTAATGGGGATTGCACTGAATCCAGTTTTTTACAGGAGGAATTCTGTCAGTCCAAGTAAATCATTAAATAAAACAGGAAGTCAGTATCTAAAGGTAGGTAGGCCTTTTCCACCTTATTCTATTTCACTCCAAATGTTTATTCTAATGCAAACCATAGTTGGGCACCATTTTGTTTTATTTTTGATTTATGTGCACATGTGTGGGTGTATATAAGCCATGTTTGTGTGTAGAGACCAGAGGATGGCTGGCAGGAATTAGTTCTTTCCTTCCACCATGTGGATACTGGGGACAGAACTCAAATCATCAATCAGGTTTAGCAACAAGTGTCTCTTTTGGCTATGCCATCTCACCAGCCCTTTTCAATTTTTAGAGACAGAGGGTCACTCAATAGCCCAGGCTGGCCTTGAACTCACATTGATTCTCATGCTTTAGAGTCCTGAGTGCTAGGAGCACAGGTATACAGTACAATGCTGTGGACGTCTGAATCAAAATGGCCCCATAAGCTCATATATTTGATTGAATGTCTGGTTCCCAGTGGATTACTTAGGAAGGATTAGGAGGTGTGACCTGGTTGGAGGAGAGGTGTTACTGAGGTTGAGCTTTAACTTTCAAAAGCCCATGTCTCACTCTTTCTGTTTTAGGTATGTAGATAAGATGATGCAAGCTCTCAGCTACTTCTGGTGCACCTGCCTGCCACTGCTCTAGCATGC